TCTGGGACGGGGCCCGAGATTCTACATTTCTAATGAGACCCCCCAGGGATGCCAATGCTGCTGGTTCATGGACCACACTGAGTAGCAAGCTCTTCTAGACTCGGCTCTCCTGGCTAGTTATTTTTCCTTTAATTTTTAAAATTGAAAATTTTAAATTATTAAAACCACTAACATGGTTTGAAGGTTTTAAAAATATAAAAGCATTCAGTGAAAAGTCTCCCTCCCACCCCATCCCCATCTGCCCAGCTTCCCCCACCTCCATCCGCAGTAACCACTTTTATTCGGTTCATCTTTCCACAGATTCTCTGTGCCAATACAAGCAAATAAGATCGTACATATCCTGCCCTCTCCCCGCCCACCTCCCCGCCCTTCACAAATAGTAGCACACTACACACACCATTTTGCTAACAGGTTATCAGTTTATCTTGGCGATAACTGGACAGTCTGCTGACTCGTTCCTTTTCAGAGCTGTATCATTATCCCATTGTGTGGCTGTGCCATAATTTATTTAACCAGTCACCTCCTGGTGGACATTTGGGTTGTCTCCAATCTTTCCAGCTGGGCTTTTTAAGCCCTCCACACCCTGGCAACCTTGCTGTGAGCCTCCTCCCATCTCCCAATTCCTGGCCTCACCATCCTGAGCCCCCGTAGAGGCACCCTGTCTCTCCCCAGATCCGGTAGCCCACCCCATGGCTCCCTTCTTTGAACCTCTGTTTCATTGGCAGTCTCCTCCTCAACCAGTTGACACCTCACTGTTTATCTCTCCATGTATCTCTGCCTGTCTCCCCAGCCAGACTGTAACGACTCGAACTCAGGAACCATGTCTTCAACTTCTCTGGATCCTTCGTAGCCCAGAGCTAGGCATACAGTAGTTCTAAAAAAAATATTAGTAATATAATAGAAGTTGCCTACAAATGAAGTTGCTTGGTGATACTGCTGTGGCTGATTCTGGGTATAAGAGGCCAGGAGCCACCCAAGGTGGGAGGGACTTCATGCCCCAGAGGTCTCCAAGAAAAAAGCCCCTATCGTGTGCCTCAAGGCGCTCTGGTGGCATGGTAGTTAAGCGCTTGGCTGTTAACCGAAAGGTCAGTGGTTCCAACACACCAGCTGCTCTGCGGAAGAAAGATACAGCAGTCTGCTCCTGTAAAGAGTACAGCCTTGGAAACCCTATGGGGCAGTTCTACTCTGTCCTATAGGGTCTCTATGAGTCAGAATTGACTTGACAGCAGTGGGCTTTTGGGTTATGATGTGCCTCAGTGTTTAGAGCACTTGGGTGGGTTGTGATGATGTCCAGGTGTGATGAGGCATCTGGGGTTCCCTTGTGACTCACCGGTGTGGTCAGTGGAAGGAACCATGATGTGAACGGTTGGCTGGTATGGGTATGCGTACACCCCCTAGAAAAGGCTCTTTCCCTTCTCTGTTAACATCCTTCCCATCCTTCACTGCCTAACTCAAGTCTTAGTTCTTCCAGGAAGGCTCCCTGGACTGCTCTAGCCCACACTGACCTGCCCTCTTCTGGATTCCTGCTATGTGCATTAGCAACAGCAGGTACTTAGTCATCCACAGCCTGTCACCTGAAATCATATAAACCAATCTCCCCGATGAGACCCCAAGAGCCTCTATGGTAGAGATAAGACTTCTATTCTTCTCTCGGAGTCCCTGGGTAGCAGTTAAGGGTTTGACTACTAGCTAAAAGTTGATGGTTCAAAGCCACCCAAGCAGTGCCTCTGAAGGTCACAGCCTTGAAAGTCTTATGGAGCAGCTCTACTCGACACACGTGGGGTTACCATGAATTGGAATCAACTGGATGGCAACTAACAACAATTTTTTTCTCTTGAATCTTCTATACTGGGCACTTGAATTGTTGTTGTTCTGTGCCATTGAGTCAATTCTGACTCATATAAGAGGCTTCCATAAATTGAATGGAAAGGAATTGATTCCAGGAGTGGCATGGCAGCAGGTGAGGGTGGGAGCAAAGTTGACTACAGATGTATCTCCAATGAAAAACATTTGAGAAACAGGTAATTTTATAGATGTTCCTGCCTCCCCCCACCTCATTTGCTCCTCCATCCCTCCCTGCCTGGTACTGGAAAACAATGACCTCACAGCCACAAGTCCTGAAGGCCTGGTTCACCCTGTCCTTTGAAGCTGGAGCAAGTGAAGGGGACTTTACAAAATGTCACTGTCATGACAAACAAACAAACGCAGGGGACTGTACTAGATTCATAGGTTAAAGCAACATGGCAAGCAAATGCAGTTTGTGAAGATTGATTGGACCGTGGACTGGAAAAAGAAGGAAAAAACGAAAATGACATTTTGGGGAATAATTGGGAAATTTTGAATATGGAGTGTTGTCTTAGTCATCTAGCGCTGCTATAACAGAAATACCACAAGAGGATGGCTTGAAGGAAGAGAAGTTTATTTCCTCTCAGTAAAGTAGGTTAAAAGTCCAAATTCAGGGCATCAGCTCCAGGGGAAGGCTTTCTCCCGCTGTCGGCCTTCTCATCAATCTTCCCCCGGACTAGAAGCGTCTCCGCGCAGGCACCCCAGGTCCAAAGGACGTGCTCTGCTCCTGGCACTGCTTTTTTTTTTTTTTATTTTTTATTTTTTATATTTTATTGTACTTCAGGTGAAGGCTTACAGAACAAATAGTTTCTCATGAAACAGGAGTACACATGTTGTTTTATGACATTGGTTAACAACCCCACGACATATTAACCATCTAAATTCTCAACCTTTTTTTTTTTTT